AGTGGGATTTTTGTAAATGGACACCCCTAAGTGGTATTTTTGCAAATGTGRACACAAAAGTGACATTTTTGTAATTGCCCCCTAGAAAAATATAATTATTGGAAATATGTGAAATAATTTAATTGAATCTTATTATATAAAGCTTGATGCGTCAAACATTGTAATTAACATGATCGTAACACGTGTCAATTGGGTTGTTTAGATTTTGATAAGTGTATTTTTAATTAGATTTAATCATATATCAAAAGATTTATCTATTTATCTATTTTGTAAAATAATAAAAAATAAACTGAATTTAAATAGGTTTAAGAAAATCTAAAATTAGTTTAAATAGAGTTAGGAAAATCTAATTATTTGAAAATATTTGGTATAATTTAATTGAGATGGTGAAAATTTAATCTAATTTAAATAAAATTAAAAAATCTAAACGTAATTTAAATAGGATTAAGAAATTTTAATTATTTAGTTTTTTATAAAATAATTAATTCAATATCAAATAATATAAGAAATAATTATTGAGAACAAAATAGATAAATATTTGATAGATTTCTCTATAAGTAGGTTTGTTGACATTCTCAATTTTATATCACTTCATGGGGTGACTTAATTTTGTCTTCCATGTTTTTCGTGTTTGATTTGTGGTAAAAATAGTTTAATTACAAATATGAGAATAAATTTATCAACATTTTGAAAATTAGATATTTAAGTAGTAAAATAGGAAAAATAAAATAAAAAGATACACCTAACTTAAATATGAATAACAAATAATTTGATAAGACAATTTTTTTTGTACAACTAAATATCTTTTTCCACAAATTTATAAGATATCAAATTATAGAAATCAAATCTAGTTCTAAATCAATTAACAATAACATTAAAAATATTTAGTGGTTTTACAACAACATTTTCATTTTTATTTTGCTTATTTTAACGGATGATCTAATTTTGTGCACAGATTTATCACAGATCCTTAATCTAATTATTAATAAATATATTGACACATTATGCGATAAGTAAGGGTCAAACCGACCTATTAAAAATGGAATAATATTTTACGCCTATTAAACAAAATTGAGATGAATAGGTTATTAGACAACTAAACTAGTTTCTATAAAAAAAAAAAATTAAAATAGGGGGTAAAAGAAAATTTATTCAGAGTTTTTGCCAGAAAAATGTACTATATTGAATAGATATTTTCTTTCCACGTAGAGATAATTATTAGTTT